AAGTTCAAGCTTCATCCGCATGTGTAGCTACAATGAAGATCAAGATCAAGCTTGGGTAATCTAGTTTAGATTTTATATTATGTGTGTTAAGTACCTTAAGCTCAATATCATATACACACATGTATTTGGTTTCTATGTATATATATAGTTATATATATACATGCATGGTTTTGGGTTTTCATGTTTTGGATATACTTGCAAAATACATGAGTTTTCACAAATAAAAATTCAATTTGAGAAATTCTTTTTCTAACATGTTTGTTTTCATGTTTATAAATATTTCGCAAAGTTTCATCAAGTTTGGAATTGTTTTGTTATGTTTAATGGAATTTACAAAATCATGTTTTTCGTTTGTGCATGTTCGTGCATGTTTTACAAAACAGATGAGTTTTCATAAATGGGAAGTGATATTCAAGAAATTCTTTCTTTGACATGTTTATCTACATGTTTAGAAACTTCCCTCAAAATTTTACTATTTTTGGAGTTTATTTACTATGCCCAATTGATTTTACAAAATCGTGTATGTCAGCAGATTTTTAGAAACTGTATATCTCTGTTCAAACATTTATTTATCTCAAATGAGAAATGATTTTTCAGAAATTATTTGTCTAACATGTTCATATACATGGTTAGAACCTTCCCACAAAATTTCATGATTTTTGGAATTGTTTTACTATTTTTAATTGATTTTATAAAGTCAGATACACAAATTTCCAGAATGCTGGAATTTGGGGTATTTTGGTCTTTTCAGCCTATAACGGCTAGTAACGGCTAGTTTTTGATATTTTCGGTTTTTGGGGGTTTGTGGCTGGTTTAAGAGGCTATAAAAAGCCCTCAACTTTCATTGTTTCTTATGGATGTTTAAGAGAGTTTTAAAAAGAATTTTACAAGTTTGTTGAAGGGTTTTTAAGTTTGTTTCAAGAGTTTGTTTGTGAAGAAAATTCCACAAGAGCTTGAGGAGATCATCTATTGGAGTTTGAGCAATCAACTATTCTTCCTCCATCTCTTGTCATTTATTGAGAAGTTTTCTAAACTCTTTTCTAGATTTATATTTATTTGTTTGATTATCATCTTATTAAAGCTAGTTTTATATTGAGTTTAGATTTGATTAATCTCATTGTTACACACACCCACTTGAGCTTATTGTATTTGCATTCATAATATATTTGGGGTTGTGAGAGATAGTAACATTGAGTTGAGCCTAATTGAGTTCTCACCTTGTTTAGAGAACAATCAATTGATTTATATTGTGCTTAATTGTGAGGATTCACTTGTAATACACTTGTACACCGAGAGAAGTGTGTGGTGAGAGACGGGGTCGAATCCAAGAGGAGTGGCGTCGGTTGACGTGCCTAGGGAGAGGTTGTAACCGAGCACTTGAGGAGGAGGACACGGGCTAGGAGCAACACTTAGTGTGTGAGGTGTGATTACATAGTGATTGTATTGTGAGGTGTAAACGTTGTTCGGGTGAACGTAGAAAACCCGGTTGTGATAGTGGAGATCTCCTCGAGGTGAGGAGCGGAGACGTAGGTCAAGTGGTTAGACCGAACTCCGTGATCATATCGTTTTGTTTGTGATTGCATTGGCGTTCTTATTCTTGTTTTCATATCTTATATCGCCTTTGTGTATTGCTCATCATATTACCCTATCACTTGTGTAGATTGTTTATTTTACCCTTGTGTTAGTTCATATATCCTTGCTCATATATTTGTAATATCTCATTGATAGGATATATTCATTTGTTCATATTGCTTATCCTAGCTTACGTATCTTGTTGTATTTTATACTTGCTAGGATAACTTATTAATTAGTTTTAATTGGCATTTAATCGGATTAGATTAGCATAAGACCCTAATCACCCCCCTCTAGGGTCTAACAATTGGTATCAGAGCTTGGTGCTCTTTGATTTAAGGTCTAATCGCCTTGAGTTAAAGATCCAAGTTAGCTTATTGTGCTAATCTATTTTTGAGCTTTATTTGTATCTTGCTTGCATACATTTTCTTATTATGGACATACATTGTGCATCTTGTTTAGGCTATGATCCTATTGTTGCTCCTAAAATAGATAATCTCCCATATGACCAATGGTGTTCTAGATTTAACATATTTGTTAGATCTAAACAATTCAATTTATGGGAAGTTATTGAAGATGCTTATATTATACCCACTTCGGAAAAATCCAAGTGGAGTAACAATGATAAAAGAATGTTTAATATGAACAAGCTTTTGTTAGAATATTTGCTTAATGCCTTTGACTCATCCTTTTCTAACAAATTTGTTCATTTTGATAGTGCTTACAATTTATGGAAATTCATAGAAGCACATCAAGGCAACTTGGAGGAAATCCGACGTAGTTTGGAGGATTGTTCTTCAAGTGAGTGTGGAGCATCATCATGCACACGGCCACTAGGCGATAGCCCTAGTGTGGTAAGCGATTCGGAATCCGATAGTGATATATCCATCAATGAACTCGCTTGTGCATATGAGAAATTATTGCATGCCTATACAAAATTACAAAATAATTTTATTGATCTTAAAAGCAAGCATGTAGAATTGAAATCCGATCATGAGAAGCTAGTGTCCAAATTTGACATCATTGAAAATGAATTATCATCTTATTAAAGCTAGTTTTATATTGAGTTTAGATTTGATTAATCCCATTGTTACACACACCCACTTGAGCTTATTGTATTTGCATTCATAATATATTTGGGGTTGTGAGAGATAGTAACATTGAGTTGAGCCTAATTGAGTTCTCACCTTGTTTAGAGAACAATCAATTGATTTATATTGTGCTTAATTGTGAGGATTCACTTGTAATACACTTGTACACCGAGAGAAGTGTGTGGTGAGAGACGGGGTCGAATCCAAGAGGAGTGGCGTCGGTTGACGTGCCTAGGGAGAGGTTGTAACCGAGCACTTGAGGAGGAGGACACGGGCTAGGAGCAACACTTAGTGTGTAAGGTGTGATTGTATAGTGATTGTATTGTGAGGTGTAAACGTTGTTCGGGTGAACGTAGAAAACCCGGTTGTGATAGTGGAGATCTCCTCGAAGTGAGGAGCGGAGACGTAGGTCGTGGGGACCGAACTCCGTAATCATATTGGTTGTTTGTGATTGCATTGGCGCACTTACTTTTATGTTCATATCTTATATCGTCTTTGTATATTGCTTGTTGATTATATTGCCCACTATCTAGTTTAGATTGTTTACCCTTGTGTTTGCATATCCTTACATATATCACATTGTATATCTCTTTGATAGGATATATCATCTTGTGTTAGTTTATATATCCTTGGATATACATATTCATCATATAGGATATATCTCTTTGTTTGCATTGCTTATCCTAGCTTATATATCTTGTGGTATTTCATGCTTGCTAGGATAACTTGTTAATTAATTTTAATTGGCATAAAATCGGATTAGATTAGCATAAAACCCTAATCACCCCTCTCTAGGGTCTAACACTTATCGCCACCAAGAATAACTCAATATTAAACAAAGGGAAAATTTTTTGTCTATTCTTCTCTCTTTTGTAAATTGGGAAACCGATAAGAAAATTGTAATTTCTTTTTTTAAGTTAGTTAGAGAGAGACTACTTTAAGAGATTATAATTACTCTTTTCTTAAGTAAGTTAGGGAGATTAATACTAATTTATACCTTAGTTTTCTTCCCATTTTTCCCGCAAACAGTATTCTTTCAGTTGTTAATCTGTTTTATTTGTCTTTGAAAAAGGTATTGCATGCTGTCATCAAACAACATGATGCTGGCGCTAGGAAAGAGAAGAATTTTGGTGATACATTGTGCAAAAATTATCTTCTGATGTCATTTGTTACTATTAATAAATTTGATTCTTATAGACTAGAGCATTATATCTTCTCTAGCATGGCAAAATGAGATTTGAAAATGAAACCCAAGACTTAATATTTAGGTGGTTATTTAACAAAACATGGGACAAATTTTGCATTTTAACGACTTGATTTCCCTGTGACCTCAAGTATGTTTTTATGGGTCATTTGTCTTATAAACAGTAATTATGGACGTGTCATGGTAGCAAATTGCTGCAAGTATCTAAAAACACTAATGTCTTTCAAGCTGAATCTAGGAGATTACCTGGGGAACTTTTAACTGATTGTAGAAGTTAACGCTGAAAATCAGGAATTTTTGAGTTCGAGCATCTTATGCCGTATTAACAAATCGTGACAATGTTGAAAGCAAGGCGTTTCTCAGCAATAGATGCATGAATTGCAAGATAGCATCAAATAGCAACAAATCAATCGAAAATTGTTCATTCTACAACATGGCTCACGTAGGACAAAATATTCAGAATAGAAACGAACAGCTAACATCCATTTCCTTCACTGTTACAATTCTTTGCATTAAGAAGATTAGTTAGATAAGTGCGTTTTTCTTCACTTATCGTGACAATGTTGAAAGCAAGGCGACTCTCAGCAATAGATGCATGAACTGCAAGATAGCGTCAAATAGCAACAAATCAATCTAAAATTGTTCGTTCATTCTACAACATGGCTCACATAGGACAAAATATTCAGAGTAGAAACGAACAGCTAACATCCATATCCTTCATTGTTACAATTCTTTGCATTAAGGAGATTAGTTAGATAAGTGCGTTTTTATTCACTTTTTATCCTCAAATGAGCAAAGAAGGACCATTTCCTTCAAGCCAAGACATGCGTAAGCAAATGATTTCAAGATAAAAAGTGAATAAAAACGCATTTATCTAACTAGTAGGCTCAATGCAAAGAATTGTAACAGTGAAGGAAAACAAAAACTAACAGCTGATATATTAAACCAACTGCATAGATATCCAATGAAACACAATAAGCTATATTCTTGGCCAGTAACTCATAAAACAAAATTTTGATATTGCAGCAAAATGAAGCAAACAGATGTCACCCAAAACCAACAGTTAAAAAGAGATCAAGTTCCCTACTGCTTTGATTGACAAAAGTACATAATAACTAAATCAAAACCAACAGTTAAAAAGAGATCAAGTTCCCTACTGCTTTGATTGACAAAAGTACATAATAACTAAATAAAAGAGACAATGTCTTGAGTTGTGCTAGGAGATATAAAAGAACTCTTTGACTGTTGCCCGCATTATATTCTTCCAAGTACTTCAGAGCTCCATCCCAGATACACCGCCTTACCGACCGAGCCAAATGCATCTAGTCAAATAGACTGAACATCTCCTGCAGAAAGCAAAGAGGAACAAAGAAGGGAATCAGACAGCCAGTGGAAATAACAGTAACAGATTTATAATTATAAATAGTAACTAATTCTGGATACAATTAATTTACAGGTAAATTTCACAAAGTCCCCATGAACTTCCATGGGTCGCACAAAATTCCCTAAAATTTACAAATCAGAGAAACCCTCCCTGAACTTTCAAAATTATACAAGACCACATGTCATAACCAATGTTCGCATGAAGTGCAAAATGCCTAATAGTACCTTGATTACTTTCTACCTACCCAAACCCAAAAAACTCAGTAGAATTGGAGAGTACATAGAAGGCAAAATTGTTCAAAATACGCCATGTGTGAATGTGACAGCTTAAAACTAACTGCCGGCAGGACGTTCATGAGGCTTTCTCTAATTCAGGGTTTTTCTTAATGCAAAACACTGCAAAGATAGGGGCGATTTTGTGAAATTTAATCTTGAGTTATAACATGAATGCAAGGAGCTAAGCTAACTTCTCAAAAGCTACATGCAACACCAAAGCCTTTTGCACAAAAGCGCAAAAGATTATCAAATCTTACCAGATCAGATTCTTCATCATCATCCACTTCTTCCTTCTTCGGTTTCAGCAGCCACTGCATCTGGAGCCAAGCAGCCCCACCAGCAGGTGTCAGCCGCAGTACCAGCACCGCCACCGAAGCACGTCCCTTCCAGAGGCAATGAGCTCAGTTATGTCCTTGTCTTTGACCTCGGAGAGGAAGAATTCAATTCTTGACTCTTCAGCCTCAGCCCCAACTGCCAATTTTAGGGAAGTAATTTGAGATTCATGAGATTATGCCCCGACACAAATGATTAAAACATCAGGCTTCTGGTTCAGTGTGTGCATGTTATGCAGCACCATGATAGCTAAAGTGAACCATAAAGGAACGTATACACTTCAATAATCCAAAACTGTATGCAAATCCTAGATAGTAAACGGCAGGGGATAATAAGGCTGAAGAAAGGCAAGTAAAATTACAAACGTGATCAGTTAAATCTATTCATCAACTAATGGTGTACGCCCAACAAGAAAACAAAAGAAGGAATGCTATTGGATAGACTAGCAGAGTGTACATCGGGCTAATTATCACTATGAAAAAACATGACCATATTTAACCACCTGAAATTGAGATTCGTCTAAAACGTATGATGTAATAAACACCATTCGGTACCATAAAATGCAAAATATTTTATAATGATTTTAAAAAATATACCCCACACAATTATCTAAATATTAATAAATACAAAATATTTTATAATGATTTTAAAAAGTATACCCCGCACAATTATCAAGTAAACCATCACAAGAATAATGATGTGATCAAACCAAGTCTTCAAGGCTTAACAAAAAGTTTAAAAGTACAAATTTAACAATTTCAAATTTTAAACAAAGAAAATACTCTGTAATCTTTATGGTAAATTATATTGAATAATGTAGGTTATATTGAAATAACATACATTATCTAAAAGTGTATTCTTTATTGTAATAACATAGAGCGATGTGTATGAATTATTTAAAAAAGTTACAAAACATTGAAGGTTTGTTATGTTACATAGCGGGTCTTTTTTTTCCCCTAACAATTGAGAACATGAACTAGGAAAAGGGAAAAGAAAAAAAAACTCAAAAAAACAAGCTAACTCTTAACTCTTCCTCATTATGATTTCAAGCTACGCTAATAATATTCCTTGCAGAAAGGATGAAGGAAAAGAAACACACTAGTAATTTATATTCAACAGACCAAATGAGCAAAAGAGGTTTATCTATCAGTATCAGCAACTCATACACGATTTGGTTATGAACATATACGATAAAGAGATGAAATTCATAAAGGCAATAAAGAAGGCAAACCTGATCCTAAAATTTTCTTCAGATTATCAACAGATGGGCTAGTGTTTCCACCCATCACAGCAAGCAAATAAGCGGCAACGATCTTCATTCTACATAACAAGAAACAATGGGATGTAAACACGAATAAAAAAGAAAAGCCACAGAATGAGCTTCTGGAATGTAAAAAGCGGTAAACATCATAATAAACATGTTACATAAGTAAAATTATCACAAAAAAGAAAAAGAAAAAACTATGCCAAATGTGAAATTAGCAAATAATGGCGGCTATGATTTTATAAGAAGGTTTTGTATTAGTGTTCTAGTTGCGAAAGGAAGCTAAGATTGCGAGAAAACAATTATTGTAGTTCGGACATAAACTAAATACAAGTAAGAAACAGAATAGCAAACATATGACCCAAAAAAAAAAAGCTTAATGTGTAAAGTAATTTATCAAGGGCATGCACGTATACAATTCACTTTCAGGTATCAACTCAAGCAAACTCGCTCGCTCATTCTTATAAGTACACACATAAACATGTCTAGTTCGCTAACTTGACAAGATCTTATGTAACACGGAAAGGGGTCACACTAAAAATATTCAATAAAAGGCTTTCTTTACTAAAAAGAAAGAAGAAACCCCTTGCTAAATCCTGAACAGTGGACAAAAAAAGTTTGAATCTTTTGGCCCCCTATAATACAAATCAAAGTTCTTACGTACTAAAAACTTATTAAATTAATCTCACAACACATAGGAACTTGACAACATTATTCTTTTCATAATCAAATTTGTCAAATTAAAGCAAACATAAACTGATTTTTAAGAAAAAGCATGACATACACTACCCATCACCTCTAAAGATATACATATTGCACATTAACTTCAGCTAGTTTTAAACAAAGAAACAATCATCTCTAATTAAAAATTGCAAAAGATAGCAACTTGACAAGATTTGTCCTTTTATAATCAATTAACATCACATGGGCATGGCCCGTTCGCATATACTAACAAATTAAAATAACCATAAATTGACCTTAAACTAGAGACAGCGTGACAAAAATTGTTAAAAAAAAAGCTGTGCAATATATGTTAGAGATCTAAACAAATCATCATCTAGAAGAAAAAAGCTTGCAGCTAATTTATTATTACATGCACATTGCACAAAAACCTAATTCATTATAATAAGTTCTTAAAAATAAAAAAAATGTGTTTTGCCTCAAAAAAAAAGATGTGGATTTTCTCTACTTGCAAAATCGCGTAAAGACAAGCGCCGAGATTTGAGGAGACTCAGGCGTGGGGTCTTTTTTTGCCTAGGGTTTAACAAAATTGCACATTTATAGGATTTTTGTGAAAGCGTAGATCGAGATTGTGTAGGATTACGGGGATTGAACGGATGAGATTGTTTCTCGTTTTTGCAGTTTTGAGTACGGAAGGAAAGTTTTATGGATTATAATTTGGAATTAAAATAGTATCGGAATATCTTATTAAGATAGGATTTCCTTGGTAGAAGGGCTGAAATATATTTTTTTTTCAAAAAACAAAAAATCTTAAGTAATGAAAAAAATAATCCTAATTATTTTCGAGTTTCATCAAGCTCCCTTAATCTTATAATATTTAGAGTTTCTCGTTTCATTTCCTTAAAAAAGGGAAAAAGAATAGGTGCTTAGAAGCCAATTGAAATGGTTTTCAATATTTATTGATAAATAAAAAAGCCAGTGCAAAAAAACTATTCTTTAGTTTGCTTGAAATCCTAAAAATAGAAAATCTGAGAGGGAAGAAAGAGAGTGTGAAAATATTAAGGTGACACAATAATTAAAAGGGTTGTGTTAAGTTTCTAACCATTTCCTCCTTTAAAAAAACTAGGATTTGGATTTTCTTAGAAATGGAGTGTTTTTTATTTTTGCACTTTATAGAAACCATTTTCTAAAACTCTATTTTCTTTCTGAAACAAACTACACAACAGGAATCCTATAAATCCTATAAACCACTAAAATGCATTCTAAGATGCATTTTTGCTTCATTTCTTGCTTTTCCATGCATTTTCCCCAACTTTTGGAACCCAACAAATCCTTATGTATAAACTATCAACCAAACGAGCCCTTAATATAAAGGGCTAACAGTGGGTTAAGATAGATAATGGGTTTGATCCCAAATAAACCTGGTTTACGTATAAGGGAAGGGAAAGGGATCGGTGAGTCATAATGCGAACTCCAAAAATTATGTTTGGTTAAAAAGCTGTGCATTTCAATTATATACCAAGAGTGCAGCAATATCTAGACGAAAGGACAGAAAATTAAAACAAGGGCGACAACCACTAGCGCCATCAACCAAAATACTCAGCAAAGTTAACAACTAGAATACAGAATTATGGTGCAAAGACAACACATGCTACAGCTTACTCATTACTAATTAATCCTCTAACACAAAACAGAAAATGACTAATTTATGGGGAGGAAAACAAAAAAGTTCCAGGCTGCAAACCCTAACAGGCCATTCAACATAAATAACTGTCTCATTCTCAACGGCTTCACCAAAAACACTACCACAAAGTGACAGCTCAACAAAGACCCCTCAGTCGAACAGGCTGAATCCCATATCCTGCGAATAAACAGAAAGGAAGAAAACAATCAGATAATGCAGAAATAAGTTAAGCAATAAAACAAGGTTGCGTTATCTATAATAATAATAAAATAATAATAATAATAATAATAATAATCAATATGAGAACTTACGTCGTCAGATTCTTCCTTCTCCTCAACTTTCTCTTCCTTCTTTGACTCAGCTGCAGCAGCTGGGGCAGCACCACCACCAGCAGCAGCAGAAACAGCAACAGCAGCACCACCGCCGGCTGGAACTGAGGCGAACTTCTCCCTCCCAGATGCAATGAGCTCGGTGATGTCCTTGCCTTTGACTTCACACAAGAGGAGTTCAATTCTTTCGTCCTCAGCTTCAGCTCCAACTATCAAACAGAAGCAAATGATCAATAATACTCAAAACTACAGATGTTCGATGGAGTATAGCCAGATTATTACTAACGTACCACCAGCAGGAGCGGAAACAGCAACAGCAGCACCACCGCCGGCTGGAACTGAGGCGAACTTCTCCCTCCCAGATGCAATGAGCTCGGTGATGTCCTTGCCTTTGACTTCACACAAGAGGAGTTCAATTCTTTCGTCCTCAGCTTCAGCTCCAACTATCAAACAGAAGCAAATGATCAATAATACTCAAAACTACAGATGTTCGATGGAGTATAGCCAGATTATTACTAACGTGTGGTTCAACAGCAAAATCGGCATCAAAAGATGTAGTTACAATGCTGTAAGCAAAAAATCAGCAGAAAAATCTGTAGTTGTAATGCTGTATTGCACAATTATCAGGAGTAGCTCTACCTATGGCAACTAGAAATGCAGATAATTGAAAATTTAGCAACCAAACGCTTGTTCATCATGAAAAATTGCTGAAGCAGCAAATAGACTAAACATATATTGCAGCTGCAATTACAGTAGTTAGACAGCATGCTGTTACAGTAGTTAGACAGCATGCAGTTAGAAAGGAAATGGTTGGCTTCAATTAAGTTCTTCGTAGATTGGAGCCATGAATAAACAGTGGGCATGCCCTCCAAAGCTCATGTTAAAGTGCTAGCTTAACCCGCTCCAACAATAGCCTCAGACCTAGGGGTGCATTCGGTCCGGATACGGCTCGGATATGATGCTTACCATATCCATATCCGCTTACCCATCTCGGATACGGATATACCTCGGTAAGAAAAACTTATAACCATATCCGCTAAAATCGGATACGGTTACGGATATACATGCGGATATATAAGCGGATATGCATGCGGATACAAAACAGATATGAGAAAACTAGATAGTATTGAGAAAAACATAGTTCATGTGATACAAAAAAGTTCGTTAATATGTCCATTATAACTAAATAGTTAAGATTAGTCATCTTGATCATCAAAATTAACCACAAATCCATAATCTAAGAATCGAAACTATCGTAAGAGTATGACTAATATGTATTCGGATATTTCGGATACGGATACAGATATTTCACTACAAAACCATATCCATAACCATATCCTATCGGTTATAGATTTGAGTAACCATATTCGTATCCTAACGGATACGGTTACGGATATTTCATCGGATACGGATACGGTTTAGCACCCCTACTCAGACCCAGACCTAGATGTAATGCTGTAGTTGTAATGCTGTATTGCACAATTATCAGGAGTAGCTCTACCTATGGCAACTAGAAATGCAGATAATTGAAAATTTAGCAACCGAACGCTTGTTCATCATGAAAAATTGCTGAAGCAGCAAATAGACTAAACATATATTGCAGCTGCAATTACAGTAGTTAGACAGCATGCTGTTACAGTAGTTAGACAGCATGCAGTTAGAAAGGAAATGGTTGGCTTCAATTAAGTTCTTCGTAGATTGGAGCCATGAATAAACAGTGGGCATGCCCTCCAAAGCTCATGTTAAAGTGCTAGCTTAACCCGCTCCAACAATAGCCTCAGACCCACACCTAGATGTTCACATCCTACTGTCTCCTTAGATTGAACAGTATAAAGTTTTAATATTAGATATCTTAACCTATAATTGTTGGATTGCCTTATTTAAAATTTTCCAGAAAATAGTTAAACACCTTTGCTAGTACATATTATCAAAATCTTTGATTTGACAGAAAGTCAAGTGGACTGAGGAACAAAAGAAGAAATTCTTTGTTAGAATGTTTTTGAAGAGGTTGGAGTGGAGGGAAGAGAGAAAATGAAAGTGAATAAAGTACAACCCTAAATTTTGGAGGGATACATGAGAGAATGAACAAGAAGGTCATGAACCCCACCCTCCACCCTCGTCCGTCCCACTCCCCCTCGTAACTAAAAAACAATAGCACTCTCCTCATCTCTTTCCTCCTCAACTCCCTACCAAATCAAACCTCAACATGTTCCCCGGTATGGGGTTTGAGGAGGGAAATAGTGGGTTTGAGGAGGGGAGGGAAAGAGTAATGTGAAATGACGCTACTCAGCTGATTTTTTTTTTCTTCTCAATATTTTTTACAGCTTATTAAAACCACCAATTCAGAAATCCAAAATCCAACATTTTTGGTAGGGTTTTGACATGACATTTCAAAGTGATATAGTGATATGGCACAATATTTACCTGCTCCCGAATCTGACAAAAAGAAACAAAGAATTCCAAAAAAATTCTTGGAGGGCAAACAATAACTATCTATTTACCTTAAAATAATAGTAATAGAGTGCACTCAGTTCAGTGGTTGTTTAGGTTCCTAGTGTAGCAATTTTGGGCTCTCATTATAGTGTTTGGACCCATTTGACTTGATTGTTTGGAATCTAAATAGGCTTTACTTTTCAATGTGCTAAATTCAATTTTCTACTAATTAGCCTTCTAATACAAGATTTACACGCAATTTATAAAAATTTTGAGGTTCAACGGCATCCCTACACATATAACAGCATCTGCCTTTGCATGACCCACTTTCTCTGAGGATTCTTTAGGAATGCTCAGGAAAAAAAGAAAAAAACAAGCCTAATGAAACAAACTTAATAATCAGGTACCTTACTTTCCAACCTTGTTACCTTACTACTATTTTTGTAAACAAACAAAACTTCTTATAATCTCTTTCCGAAACTAATCTTACATTCAGCTTTCCTTGCTAAACTAAACAAAAAATTAAAAACTTACTGTTGCAAATTCAACAGATCTCGTACATTGCCATCAATCCAAAAAACAAATCTTACAGAAACAAAACCATTACTATCTTTCTCTTCTAGTAACTCATAATGTTGTGCATGACTTTCTCCCCCATTTTCATCATGACCATCAACCAACATCCTAATGCAAGTTTGAACTGTCCAAACATGAACGTATTCTACATATAAATATTATAAGCTTCACACCTTCATCTTTAATCTACAAAATAGGTTCATTTCTTATTCACAAAATAGGGATGTTCAAACTGCACCTCCTCATTTACTCTCTAAAAGCATTCAAATGAACTACCTATTAGGTTCATTTCATATTTACAAAACAGGATGAAGGATTTCATGTCAAAATAAGATCTCTTTCATATTTGGATAGGTTAGAAAGTTTAACAGAACGCTCATAGCCCGTCCATTTGGCTCATAGCCCGTCCATTTTAAGGGAAAAAAGGATTAACGATGGTGGCGATGAATCTGTTTGCGGTCCTCCCCTTCTACATTTACTTTTAATCACAGCTTATAAAAGACAATATCTTTTAATTTTATTAATTTAAGAATTCAATAGGGCTCAGATAGATATTTCACAAGAAATTGCACAGGTATACAGCTCAATTTCATTTTGATATTGACCTTACAACAAGAACTCTACAAGCCCTAGCTGGAAAAGATCCCTTAACATAAACCAAAAATTTTCATTTCATTTCTTCCAACAATTAAAAAAGAAACCGTTTTTAACAGACATTTGCATGAAAAAACAAAAAAAATTAGGGAAAAAAAGAGGAACAACTGAAATCGAACCTGATCCCAAGATGCCCTTGATATCCTCAGCAGATGGGCTACTGTTTCCGCCCAAAACAGCGAGCAAATAAGCAGCGACAACCTTCATTCTGCTAAAAAAGCATCAATTATCAAAATTCAACCAACATGAAAAGGACGACGGGAGCTAATAAAAAAACAGAAAACGGTAATTAATGAAAGAAAATTTGGGGGAATTACTTTACTTGGGAGATGGAGATGAGCTGGGGAGAGCGGCGAACGGCTGATCTAGGGTTTATGAAATGGGTGAAAGAGCCTGAGCCTGAGAGAGCGAGTATTTATAGCAGAGCAACAGGGGTTGAGATTCGATCCGGACCGTTAGTTGGTGATCTAATGGTGAGTGTCCGTTTTTGTGTTGAAAGTGCAAAAAACCCTTCTCAACTTTGTGTTTCTCGCTAATGTCCAAAGATCGAACAAAGTGAAGGTAAGGGAAGGAGATGAACCTCGAATAGAACAATGAAAGAACAGAATTAGGTAGATAATAAAGTCGAAGAAACAAATATTGGGGAGTTTTGTAGGTTGAGTTGAAAGTTTTAAGGGTTATCCGAGACTCCTTGTATAGTTTTAGAGATTTCATACTCTTTTTAAAAATACGAGTATGATAAAAATTTATTATAGTCAATATTATTTTTAACTATTTTAATTATTTTATTTAAACTAATATAATGTAGGTGCTTTGCGTGTGGACATGTTGTTATATTTAATATTATATTATTTAATAAATTATATATAAACATTTTACAAAGTTATTTAATTACACTATAATTAAAAAAAATTAGGGAAAAATGTGTACAGGCCCCAAAAGCAGAAACTTCATGTAATGAGGCTCCTCGTAGTTTTCCTCATGTGAATCAGCCTCTTGATGTGTGACACTTTGTACTGCAACCCTTTTTATTAATTATTACATGTCAGCTAAGCTACAATCCCCAAATTATTCTTATTCTCTCTCCTCAATCCCTCAAACCCAGCACTCATATCCTCTCTCTCTCTCTCTCATCTCCTCTCTCTCTCTCCCTCTCTCTCTCCCTCTCTCTCTCTCTCTCTCTCTCTCTCTCTCTCTCTCCCTCTCTCTCTCTCTCTCCTCTCTCTAAAACTAAGAGCTTTCTCAAGCTCATCACCCTGGCCCTTGCCCTCCTCGCCGTTGCCGCCTCTGCTCAGGCCCCCAAGGCTCCCATCGAGTTCGTCGCCGTCTCCCCTCCCCTCCTCCACCCGTCCTCGTCGCTGTAGATCGCCGCCGCTCCCCCGCCGTAGATCGTCTCCGCAGAGCTTGAGGAAAACGTTCGAAAATCTCGGGCAATTGAAGACTGTTGAGGAGTGCAGGGAGATGATCCGAAGGTATGATGTTAATGGAGATGGTGTTTTATGCTTTGATGAATTTAAGAAGATGATGCTACGAGAGTAGGTTGGTTTTTGAGATTGATCTTTACAGTAAATGATGATGTTGTTGTGCCCCGTTGAGATTTGGACATTACTTTTTCTTTTTTTTTATTTGAGATGACTTTGATCAATTGAGGGTTCATGTTGACAATATATCTACGTTTTTAATTTCTCACATGACTGTGGATTTATCCTTATGAGCTTCTGTATTTGTAAATTGTGACTGATTCTGTTGTGAATGTTTTTTGAGTCACCAGGCCGAGACGCACAGAGCATTAATCCATTAGCTAGAAGAAGAAAAGAAAAAAAAAGAAAAAGACCAGCTACAAATAAATGAACGATTTAATTTTAAAAAATAGTCAAAAGTTATCCCCATTTTTCCACTTTCACGAGACATCCACGCCTTTTTGGAGGAAGAATGAACGATTTAATTTTAAAAAATAGTCAAAAGTTGTCCCTATTTTTCCACTTTCACGAGACATCCACGCCTTTTTAGAGGAAGCTGAATTTGCAATAAACCTAATGTGCGCAATCTTTTTGTATTTTAATTTCGAACAAATTTTTAAAATATACCACTTTTAAAACTTAATTAGCAAAATAGGCTGAAAAATATTTAATTACCAAAAATCGTTGTAAACTAGGACGGTAGTTATAAATCGTTGTTATAAATGAGGATACAGTCATGTTTTTATAAATCGTTGTTAATTATATTTGATAATAGTTATACAAATTGATATGTTATTTCTAGATGCTATCGTTGTAGTTCTAGTAGCCCTCGAGTTAGTTCTAACTGCTATAATTATTAATTCTGGCTACTAAGTTAGTTCTAACCGCTACTTGTTATTTTTGCTTCTACCTTAGTTCTAACTTCTATTACCCTAGTTCTAGCTTGTATACAGTCAGTTCTAGCCTACACATTGCTAGTTCTAAACCCAACCCGCATTTTTTACCTTCACACTTGTCAATTCATGCTTCTACGTTAGTTTTAGCTTCTATTACCCTAGTTCTAGCTTATATACAGCCAATTCTAGCCCACACCTTGCTAGTTCTAAACCCAACAAGGGTTTTTTACATGCACACTTGTTAATTCTTAGGGGTGAGCATGGTTCGGTTCCGGTCGGTTTTTACCAAAATTTGAACAACCGAACCGAACCATCTATAATTCAAAACCGAACCGAACCGTTGCAAATCGGTTCGGTGCAGTTCGGTTCTAACTTCATCAAGTATAACAATCAAAGGCACAAATATATAAGCATCATCTTATATTTGACAGAAACAACCTAGATCATTAGGTGTTTTTGTCTGAAGCTTTATGCTAATAAAAAATAAAACCCCCATGAGTTATCTTAGATTTGACCAGAAAAAAATACAAATACAAATGAATTAGAAATAAGAAATTAGAAAAATAAATATTTTTGGGATTTTCATGCTTGACCAGCATTCAGAAACTACAAGACCGAAGAATGACCTAATGAGGAATTCATTGCAAGATTTTTGTCCAGTGCGTTATAGACTCAAATGTACTTATTCGTCAAAAACTCATTTTTTAGCTAATTAAGCTGAATTCAAGAAGAAGATAAAGGATTTACCATGGAAAAATAAGCAACAACGATTCAGCCACCATTTTTCTGAGTGAAGATGAACTCAAGCACGAACCCAATCACCGACAGCTAAAGAAAAGCTATGGCGATCGAATAAGTCATCTCCCCTTTCAATTTTAGCTTCTCGAGAGAGAGTGAGAGAGGCGGACCGTGGCTGTCGGCTGAGGAGAGTGAGAGAGAGTGAGAGAGACGGACCGCAACTGTCGGCTGTCGTGGGTGGCCGCTGTCGGCTGAGGAGAGTGAGAGAGAGCGAGAGAGGGATTGAGGGAAATGGGAAATTGGGAATGAGTAGCGGCGGCTGGGACTGGAAGTCTGAGAGGAAATGAGGTTAGGGTTGAGGGTTTGGGACGGGTCGGGTAAACGAGTAGGGTATGAGGCTTTTGAGAATATATTCGGTAGGTTCGGGTCGGGTCGGTTTGAAAAGTTGTCAACCCGACCCGAACCGCCTTACTCATAAAACCGCTTTTTTCAGGTCGGTTCGGGTCGGTTCGGTCGGTTTTTTCGGTTTGAACCGAACCATGCTCAGCCCTATTAATTCTAGCTTCTAGCTTAGTTCTAGCTTCTATTACCCTAGTTCTAGCTTATATACAGCTAATTCTAGCTCATACCTTGCTAGTTCTAAACCCAGCCTTCGTATTTTACATTTACACTTGTTAATTCTTGCTTCTACGTTAGTTCTAACTTCTATTACCCTAGTTCTAGCTTATATACAGCCAGTTCTAGCCCACACCTTGCTAGTTCTAAACCCAGCCCGTGTTTTTTACATGCACACTTGTTAATTCTAGCTTCTATCTTAGTTCTAGCTTTTATTACGGTTCTAGCTTGTATACAGTCAGTTCTAGCACACACCTTGCTAGTTCTAAACCCAGCCCGCATTTTTTACATGCATACTTGTTAATTCTAGCTTCTACCTTAGTTCTAGCTTCTATTACCCTAGTTCTAGCTTGTATACGGCCAGTTCTAGCCCATATCTTGTTAGTTCTAAACCCAGCCTTCGTATTTTACCTTCACACTTGTTAATTTTTGCTTCTACGTTAGTTCTAGCTTCTATTACCCTAATTCTAGTTTGTATACAGTCAGTTCTAACCCACACATTGCTAGTTCTAAACCTAGCCTTCGTATTTTACCTTCACACTTGTTAATTCTTGCTTCTACGTTAGTTCTAGCTTCTATTACCCTAGTTCTAGTTTGTATATAGCCAGTTCTAGCCCACACCTTGCTAGTTCTAAACCCAACCCGTGTTTTTTACATGCACACTTGTTAATTCTAGCTTCTACCTTAGTTCTAGCTTCTATTACCCTACTTCTACCTTGTATACAGTCAGTTCTAGCCCACACATTGCTAGTTCTAAACCCAACCCGTGTTTTTTACATGCACACTTGTTAATTCTAGCTTCTACCTTAGTTCTAGCTTCTATTACCCTACTTCTACCTTGTATACAGCCAGTTCTAGCACACACCTTGCTAGTTCTAAACCCAACCTTTGTATTTTACCTTCACACTTGTTAATTTTTTCTTCTACGTTAGTTCTAGCTTCTATTATCCTAGTTCTAGCTTATATACAGCCAGTTCTAGCTCACACCTTACTAGTTCTAAATCCAGCCCGTATTTTTTACATGCACACTTGTTAATTCTAGCTTTTACATTAGTTCTAGCTTCTATTACCCTAGTTCTAACTTGTATACAGCCAGTTCTAGCCCACACCTTGCTAGTTCTAAACTCAGCCTGTATTTTTTACATGCACACTTGTTAATTCTTACTTCTACGTTAGTTCTAGTTTCTATTACCCTAGTTCTAGCTTGTATACAGCCAGTTCTAGCCCACACATTGCTAGTTTTAAACCCAACCTTCGTATTTTAATTACCTTCACACTTGTTAATTCTTGCTTCTACGTTAGTTCTAGCTTCTATTACCATAGTTCTAGCTTGTATACAGCCAGTTCTAGCCCACACCTTACTAGTTCTAGGGTAATACAAGGTAGAACTAGGGTAATAGAAGCTAGAACAAACGTAGAAGTAAGAATTAACAAGTGTGAAGATAAAATACGAAGGCTGTGTTTAGAACTAGCAATGTGTGGGCTAGAACTGGCTGTATACAAGCTAGAACTAGGGTAATAGAAGCTAGAACTAACGTAGAAGCAAGAATTAACAAGTGTGAAGGTAAAATAAGAAGTCTGGGTTTAGAACTAGAAAGGTGTGGGCTAGAACTGACTGTATACAAGCTAGAACTAGGGTAATAGAAGCTAGAACTAATGTAGAAGCAAGAATTAACAAGTGTGAAGGTAAAATACGAAGGCTGGGTATAGAACTAGT